AGGGGCGCCGCCGCCCAGCCCTGAACTAGAAGCCTGAGCCACGACGGACGCAAGCCAAGGACCGTGCTGCCGCCGTCCCTGAAAAGACCCGCGCCGTCGGCCTCCAGCCTGCGTCGAGATAAGCAGCCGGAGCCCTGGAGAGCACCTGGGTAGGCCCTAGCAGAGCCAAGGCGCCGGACAGCTGTGGTGTTGGAAAGGGTTTTTACAAACCTCGTTAAAGGAACTTTACTTGAGCCGGCCCTTAGCTGCGACCCAGTTGAGGAAACCTGTGAGCGCATCCTGACTCCCAAGTTGGAAACTTTAGCTGGACTTACCTAGAAGCTGGTACCTGGAGCTGCTGTCATTCAGGCCAGCCAGTGACTCCCTCCGATATAACTGGGCGACTTTTCAGAGGATGGACAAGACGACTGTGCCTTCTGTGTCTGACCCAAAAGAAAGACCCTTTTATATTTGAAAAACGTTTTCTGGTGTGGTTCTTCTTGGTCCGGGATTTAGAGAGAAAGGCTCCTTTGTTCTTGCATCGCAGGTGTCAGGGGTCGCGGCGGCATTGCCTTAAACGGGTTCTGTTCCTGAGGCCCACGTGAACAGGAGAGACCGGCTGAAAAGAGCTGCAGAGCCTGATGGGAGCGCCGTGATTTGGAGAAGCAGCTGCCCCCACACGAACCAGAGTCAGGGGAACTGCTGAGATACGAGAGTAGGGAGAGTTGGCCGGGCGCGGCGGCTCACACCTGTAATCCCAGCACTTCGGGAGGCCAAGGCGGGGAGATCACCTGAGGTCGGAAGTTCGAGACCAGCCTGACCAACATGGAGAAACCCCCTCTCTACTAAAAATACAAAATTAGCCAGCACTAATGGTGGCGTATGCCTGTAATCTTAGCTACTCGGGAGGCTGAGGCAGGAGAATCGCTTGAACCCGGGAGGCGGAGGTTGCGGTGAGTGCAGATCACACCATTGCACTGCAGCCTGGGCAACAAGAGCAAGACTCCGTCTCAGGAAAAAGTATGGCCCCAGAAGTGCACTGAGTGCACCTCATACCCCAACCTGGCTTGGTGCTGGGTAGCTGAAAAGGGTTTTGCTCTGGGTAGAAGCCATCTGTCCTTGGCCATGTGCAGAATGGCACAACCCAAGCCTCCACTGCTGGTGAGAAGTGGCGCCCTGGTCCTACAAGGAAGACCCTGAGCAGCACCGCAGAGGGCAGGTGCACTGCTAGGAAGGCCAGGTACAACCTGACTGACTGACCACGAGGTGGGGTCTTTCCTGTGTCGCTACCAGCTCTGCTGGTTTGGGCTCAAGACTGCATGGGAGGAAGCCAGGTGACTGCCATTTGGAAGGCGGCCTGGTCCCCTCTCTGCACTCAGCTTCTCTAGGAAGGGCCGGCCTGGGTCAGCCCAAGGACCAGAATGAGTTTCTGGGGCCACACCCAGAATCCCTGACCAGGAAAAATACAAATTTTATTTTTTCCCTTCTGACATAATGTGTCTTTCTAGAGCAGGTCTGAAATTGTATCACACCAGTGGGGACAGGACATAATGTAATTCTGAAGGGTGACTTCCTAGAGTAGATGGGGAGTCTGGAGCCCAAAGAGGGCTGTGTGGGGTACACACTGAGAACATTCCAGCAGTTTCAGGGAGATTGGAAACTCAGGGAGATCTGTTGGCTATCTGTTGACTGGCGGTGCATCGGGAGGGGAGTGAAGATCAGCTGTGTCTGCATTTAGACAAGGCTGAGGGTGCCCTCTGAGCGCTGGGGTGGGGTGGGGTGGGGTGGGGTGGGGATGGGCTGTCATCTGCCCCTTGCAGGAGAGCCTCAGCTTCATGAGGATGGCGATCTGGTGCAGTCCCAGGCCACCTCCCTCCTAATCCTGTCAGTCCCAGGACCATCATCTCGAAATGCAAGCTCTGAAGAAGCTAAACCCACCACTACAGGTTGGCCCTCTGCTTCTCTGGCCAAGCCCTGTGTCCACTTCCGTTGCCCCAGCTCCAGATCAGGCATCTCAGGTTGCTAAGGTGGCTTTCAAAACCTACGCAAGGCAAGGAGCTGTCTATCCGAGAATGCCAGGAGCTGATGAGGCCGGAGGGGTTCCTGCTGCCTCCTGGCTGGCCTGGTCTTCAGCGTGGTTCTTCACCTGTAGGGAAAACAGAAGCAGGGTAGTGGCAGAGGGGTCGGAGGCATTGGAGGCTAGGAAAGGGGGGCCACCTACTCACAACATCTAGTCTCCCCCACACCCCGATTTCCGTTTCCTCCCCAGAGCTTTGGCAGCTCAGGGCTTCTCTATATTCTACCTAAGACCTAGAAACTCAGAACCACCAGGCTAAAGAAAGCAGTCGTCTACATGTAGCCATTCTTTTCCCAGATATTACAGGTGTGACTCAGGATCTGGGCAGCAGTGAAAGCGCTCCTGAGCCCAGCAGACCGAACACAGGGCTGTTACCAGTTCCAGGAAGGTTAGTGTGCCACAGCTTCCCCAGGGGGCATGGTCCATGCGGCAGCCAGAGACCCTGCAGTAGCAGGAAGAGCGCAGGAACCTGAGGTTTTTTTTTTTTTTCTCTGAGACGGAGTTTTGCTCTTGTTGCCCAGGCTGGAGTGCAATGGTGCGATCTCAGCTCAGCAACCTCCGCCTCCTGGGTCCAAGCAATTCTCTCAGCCTCCAGAGTAGCTGGGATTACAGGCACGCGCCACCACACCAGGCTAATATATTATCTTTTGAGATGAAGTCTCTGTCACCCAGGCTAGAGCACAGTGGCATGATCTCGGCTCACTGCAACCTCTGCCTCATGGGTTCAAGTGATTCTCCTGCCTTAGCCTCCCAAGTGGCTGGGATTACAGGCGCCCACCACCGTGCCCAGCTAATTTTTGTATTTTTAGTAGAGACGCAGTTTCACCATCTTGACCAGGCTGGTCTCAAACTCCTGACCTCGCAATCCACGTGCCTCAGCCTCCCGAAGTGGTGGGATTAAAGGCGTGAGCCACCACGTCCAGCCAATTTTTTTGTATTTTAAGTAGAGACGGTTTCTCCATATCGGTCAGGCTGGTCTCAAACTCCCAACCTCAGGTGATCCACCTGCCTCGGCCTCCCAAAGTGCTGGGATTACAGGCATGAGCCACTGTACCCGGCTAAAACCTGAGACAAGCTTTCCAGCTGGGTCTCAGACAGGGGTCTGGGGCCATGGGGCACACCTGTGACATTCCCTTTACGGTGCTCCAGCCCTGTCCCCCCACTGCCTTCTGGGAGAAGGTATTTCAGCCTAGAACCGACCCTGGCACAGCTGAGCCCTCCAAGCCCAGGGTTGGGAGGCAGAAAACAGGACAGGGCCCAGCGTACGGGGCATGACTCTGTGACAGAGGGAATACAGCTCCCCCTCTGTACTACCTCGGGCTCCTGTACTGACCAGAGAGGCCCTCCCGCTTGCTCACAGGGAGGCCACAAGGAACCCAACACAAGTACGGTGGAGATGGGGCAGCGGGGCCAGGTCACTCACTGTCCACTCCGTGTCTGTGCCGCCCTCGTAGCCACCTGCCTCTGGACCAGCCCCCTCGCTCCGGGGCTTCTGCGGGGGCTCAGAGCTGCAGGAGGAGCGCTTGCTACCAGGACCCCTGTTTTTTCCACTGTCCTTTGTGGCTGTGCAGAGAAGGTCATCAGTCAATGGCTGGGTTTGGAGGCCCCAGCTGACCCCAGAGAGGCCACTTAATGCCCAGCAATGACCTAGGGCCTCTAAGACACAAGA